TCAGAAAAGGTTGGGGCTGAACAAGGTACCGGCTGTAGGTTCCTTATTGCTTTCAGAGAAGCTTGGCCAAGTTCCTCTGAAGCCAGAGATTTGGCTGTATCTGAGACGAAGCCAGGCAGGAGCAGTCTGGAGCAAGATCCTAGCCCTACAGGCACTCAGGGAAGTCCCCACCCAGCTCAGAAGCTCCAGGGAGCTGCCAGCAAGCCATTTTGCACACGTGCTAAGCAGTTACTCAACTTCCTGTTGTGGATGGAACAGCCCTTGCCACCCCAGACAGACCAGCTAATACCTCCTCCCCAGGTCTGCTCCCGAAGTCTTCTAAACCAGGCAAAAATCAAGTCAAGAAACATAAATGAAAACAATCATACAAAGGCACCATTAAAGCTTACTACTAAAGCAATCCAAACAAAACAAACTCCAAAAACACATAAAACTCAGTGTTGGCAGGGTTGTGGAGAAACTCTCATTTGCTGCTAATTTGTTCAGCCTTTCTGAAGAGCAACGCAATAACAATTCAACAACTGGGTCAGAACAAGCAGAATAACACCAGCAGGAACTTAAAAATTAACACTCTTTGGTGGCATAAATTCATTCTGGTGCTAAGAAAATACCCCCCCCCCCTTTTTTTTTAAGCAAACATGTTCTTAATAACCCCCTTTAGAATGGTGGAAGGGTGGAAAAATCCAGAGGACTATAAATATGGCAAGAGTAAATTGTGACACTAACATGTTGGGATACCATTTAACTAACTGAGAGGATGTATGCACAGAGACACACCTTTACCGGCATCTTTAAATGCCGAGTAGTTTTACCCAAGACTTTGACATACATTCTCTTTGAAAGCAAGCCTAAAAAGTTTTGTGGGTTTTTTTTTTTTCTTTTTTAAACCTTCATTTTGTACAAAAAGAAACAGACTCAGACAAAAAGCCAAGATTTGCTCAAAGCCACACAGCTCCTACATGGCCCAGTTTGGGATTCAGACCCCAAATCGCAGAGGTTAGCATCATCCACACACTTTGATAAATGTGGGCAGGCCTTATAATGGTGGCAAGAGTAGGAGCACATCTGTACCCTGTGTGTGCCTGGCACTTCCACACATTATCCCATGGAAGCCTCAGGACGTCCCCATTCTACAGATAAGATAGGTTGAGGTCCAGGGAAGTTAGGTGACTTGCTAAGGTCATCGGCCAGTGATGGAAGCTGGCACTCTTACCCTGGTCCCGGGGGACGGGTGTCCTTAACCACTGGGCAGCGCCGCCTGCCAGGCGCGGGGAGTCCGGGGACAGCCTGGAAGCACCCCGGGAGAGCCTCCGGCTCCGTCCCCGCGCTAGGCTGGCTACGGGGCTTCTTAGTGTTACTGTCACCGCCCTGGGCGGGCCCCGCTGCTCTCCCACCGCCGGCCAAGGAGGGGCCACTCAGTCCGGCGTCCGGACCCCCTCCCGGTGAGGACCGCGGACCCGGGCCCCAGGGGCAGGGGGGTGGGCGGGGGGGGGGGGTCGGCAGTGGCGGGGGGGGGGGAGGGAGGGGCAAGGTGGGCGGGGGCGCCAGCTCATTTCCCGGCCGGAGCAACCCGGAAGGCTGGAGGATGGAGGGGAAGTGACTGGGCGTGGGGCCCTCGCGGCCCGAAATAGCGGGGGACACCGATCGCGGGGCAGGGTCAGGAAGAGGTAGGCGGGGGCGGCGGGGGCGGCGGGGGCGGCGGGGGCGACGGGGGCGACGGGGGCGGGGGGGAGGCCGGGGCCGCCCCGAGGGCGCCGGAGGCAGGGAGCCCTGCATTTCCCTCGCCCGGAGGGGGCCTACCACCCCGGGCCCGGCCCGCCATCCCCTGGTCCCCTCCCCTCCAGGCGACCCCACACACCTGGCAAGCCCCCAGCCCTGTGCCCCTTCACGCAGGCACCCTCTCCCCGCGCCCCCACGTCTGCGGGCGTCCCGCACCCTCCTCACCTGCATGCGACTCTCCGCCCCCTCCCCTCCGGGCGCCCCCTCCCCTCCGGAGGGTCCCCCAGCCCCCTCACCTCGGGGCGCCCCGGCCGCGGACTCTGGGCAGTCGACGCGCCGAACCGGCTCTGGGCCCCGCGCGGCGCCGCAGCCACTTCCTCGTGGGCGGGGGGCGGGGCCTCCCAGCCTCAGCCCCGCGGGGACGGGGGCGGCGACCAGGGTGGCGGCGGCCGCGAGATCCCAGGCCCCGCCCACCCAGCCGGGGTGGGGGCTGCGCGGAGCCCGGGCGCCCAGAAATCGGCCGCGACCGCCCCTCGTAACTTTACGCGTGGGGAAACTGAGGCTCCGAGAGGCGCCCAGGCGGAGCAGCCGCCGGGCGGGGCGCGCACGTCCCCGCCGCCCGGAAAGCGCCCTCTCCATCCTTCCTCCGCGAGTTGATACCCTCAGGGCGCAAAAACAGTGCAGGCCCGGAACCGGCTGCGGGCAGGAAGGCGAGGCGAGGCTGCCCTCCCGCCCTCGCTGCAAACGCGCCCGGCGCAGGGCTGCCCGCTGGCCTCTCGCAGCGCCTCTTGGCTGGCCCAGCTCGTTCTCTCCATGAGGACTCCTTGCCCTTTGATTCCGCTGCGGTCCCCTTCTCGCCTTTAAGTTGCCTGGTGGCCCTGCAGCCACGTGAATTTGGATCCTGGGCCAAGTGGTCCCCAGGGGTCTTTCTGTCCTTAGCCTCTGCCTCATCAGTGGAGATGTGGCCAGATGGCGGGGCAGATGGGGAAGACCCTGGTGAAGACCCTGCTGTGCCCACTCAGCCGGTCAGACCCCTCCCCAGGAGTCCTCTCTCCCAGGGTCAGCCAGGCCACCGGCAGCAGATGGGGTGCGGGGTCCTCCCGGACTCAGGAGGTCTGGGGCCAGACTCCCACCCTTTACCGGTCTCGGGGCTGTGACACATGCTGTTCTTTCTGCCTGGAACACTTTTCCCACCCTGTCCCCACCTGGCCAACTTCGGTTTATCCTGCAGGATGTGTCTCTTAGCTCACTGTCTACAACCCCCACTGGAGGTGCCCGCTGGGCTCCCAGCAGGACCCTGCGCTCACCCATCCCAGCTCCTGTTACACTGAGCTCTTCCTCTGCGGGACGGTGGGGAGGAGGACATGTGAACATGGCAGCTCCTCCAGGAGCGAGCAAGCTTCAGCTGCGGCTTGTGGGACTACCAGCCCTCCTGGCTCCAGGAGACACTGCGGAGCTGTCACCAGCCCTCCCATCTAGCCGTGGAGAAAATCTCAGAGACATGACCAGCGCCCTGGTCAAACTCTAACTGGTCAGCTCCAGCCCTACCTGATTCCAGAGGTTTCCGGACCAGTGAGCCAAGGACTTGACTTCTTCAGCTGGCTTGAGTTGAAACTTTGTTACCCATCGCTCTAAGCACCCTGACAAATAGGACCGCCAGAGGATTCCTCCTCCCCAGGCCCCAGGGTGAAGATGTTGCACTTCGCCCTTCTCAGGTTTCCAAGAAAAGCAGCTACACACCCAGGCTGACTCTTCCGGGTTGGCTGACTTGCAGGAGGGATTCGTTTGGGGGCTGGTGCATTATCCTCAGGGCCTCAAGATTCTTTCCGGCTTTCTGTTCCTACCTCCTGGCTGCACTGGCCTTGCTGCCTCCTGGTCACAAGAGGGCAGCCAAGCTCCAGACATCTAGACTCCGGGCATGGTGGGCTGGCCCCGGCAGTGGCGAGGGAGACCAGGGAGGAAAACCTTTCCCGAAACGCCCAGTCTGATCTCCTTGTGTCTCAGCGTGTGCCCACCCCGACATGGGGACCATGGGTTGCTCTCCCTGAAATCAAGGGATTGCCACCTGATCCCTGTGAGGAGGAGGAGGAGAAACCCCTGTGTCTCCTTTCCTAGGCCACACCTGCATGTGAGGTGGACGAAGCCCAGGAGGCCCAGAACATGCTTAGCATCTCATATCCCGGGGCCGGGATGGGGGCGACACCTATTACACACCCCCTTCCAAGCCACGTGGTTTTGTAGCAGTGTGATTGGACACTACAACGGAACCCCCCAAGGTATAGTTGGAAGGGTCCCCTCCTGTCCGTTTCCGTGACCTCACCCTGGCCCCCGAGCCTGGCCTGACTCACCTGGGCTTGCTCACCAGGCATCTCCACTCCCGGCCCTCGCCCAGCAGGGGGCGCTCTCCACCTTGCGTGGGGACTCCAACGCACGATCCCAAAATCAAGAGTCGCTTGCTCCACGGACTGAGCCAGCCAGCCAGCCCCCCACCCCCGCCCTGGACTTGTTTTGTCATCTTTAAAATGTGACAGTAGGTTTCAACCCTGTAGGGTTGTTGTGAGTAGTTAACGCCTCTCAGTCGCGTTCCTTGTGCCGGGTCCAGGAGCTATTCTCAGGTAGCGCATCAAAGGTGTGGTTATAGCACCTTTCCTGGGATCCCCCAGGTGAATGAAGTAATGGTGGTGGCTTTCCAGCTTTCTTTTTTTGTCCGAGAGAGAGCACAAGCAGGGGGAGCGGCAGAGGGAGAAGCAGGCTTCCCGCTGAGCAGGGAGCCCGATGCGGGGCTCGATCCCAGGACCCCGGGATCATGACCTGAGCCGAAGGCAGACACTTAACTGGCTGAGCCACCCGGCGCCCCTTTCAAGCTGCTTCTGGTCATGACCCACAGTGATGTGTATTGTGACCCCGTACACCCCCCCACGTATATCCGAACCCTAGGTATCATGACGCACTCTTACTGCCATGCCAAGTGTTCTTTTCTTGTTTCAGTTTTTCAAATGCCAATCATGACCTACGAAATTGATTTTCACAACCACGAATGGGCTCTGACCCGCAATTTGGGAAGAACTGTTCTAGACCCTGTATCTCTTCCTTTTTCTGAATCGACAGCATATGTATTAGTTTTCTATTGAGCTGTAGCAACTTGCCACAAACAGCGCGGCTGAAAAAAACACAAACGTGTTCTCTTACATTTCCGGAGGTCAAAGTCCCCGGTCTCGGTGCGCAGTGTGGCGTTCCTTCCAGAGGCTCCAGGGGAGACCTTGTTTCCTTGTCTTTTCCAGCGTCCAGAGGCCACCTGTGTTCCTTGGCTCCGAGGCCCAGCGACACTCCCACCCACGGCCCCATCTCTGACTCACCTGCCTGCCTCCCTCATAAGGATCCCTGGGTTTACAGTGGGCCCACCTGGATAATCCAGAATCCTCTTCCTCTTTAACTTAATTACGTCAGCAAAGTTCACGGTTCTGGGGATTAGGACATGGACATCTTTGGGGGGGGCATTATTCTACCTACTGCACCCAGTATTTAAATTATACATGTATAAATAAATAACCTAACCTTATAATACATATACTGATCTACACGGGACCCGAGTCCACACGGGGTAGCTCACGTCTTGGCCACACTGCAGGTGCTGAGGGAAACCCTGACCCTCCACATCATTGCCTCCAGAGCTGGGCACACGTGGGAGCTAAACCACTTGGGTGATGGCCGTTGGGCCAAACCGAGAGTCGCCTACGCAATCAATCTGGGTTCTGAGGCTGAATATTCTCAGAATATTCTGGAAAGAACTATTGGATTTTTCTTTGGTTAGTAAGACCCTTTATACACTGCTTCCCACTCTACCAGTTATAAGGGTCTCCGGGGCCTATTATAATAGGGCCAGTGCCAAGCCTAAAAGTGAACCTCGGTTTTCCTGAGTATCTAACAGGAATTAGTTTTTTTTTTTAAAGATTTTATTTATTTCAGAGAGAGAGAGAGGGTGAGAGAGAAAGCACAAGCCGGGGGGAGGGACAGAGGGAGAGGGAGAAGCAGACTCCCCACTGAGCAGGGAGCCCGATGCGGGGCTGGATATCAGGACCCGGGGATCATGACCTGAGCTGAAGGCAGACGCTTAACCCACTGAGCCACCCAGGTGCCCCTACTAATCCTGTTTTTACTGCCATTTTACAGCTGAGGATACGGAGGCTCAGCGATGTTAACTAGATTGCTCAGGGTCACACAACTTGGCAGAACTATAACCTGACATTAAAGCCCAAAGCCTTGAATCAAAGGGCTCTGGCAGTCACCCAGAGGCCCCCCAGATTGGCAGTTATTGTGGCCCCGGGCCCGGCAGCACCGTTGGTTTCCAGCTGGACGGGTGAGAAAAAAGACAATTCTGGCTAAGTTCTTGGAGGCAAAGTTAGAAATTTTTGTTCTTTGTTGCCATTGTTTCTCTCATGGAATACGGTGTTTCTCTAAAAACCTCTGGGCTTGCTGGCCAAACCATGTGATTTAATGATACGAAAAGGGAATTTTTAGCTGATTCCTCTTTAGGGCCTACTTTTGTCCCGTGACAATGGCCTTGCGGATGCACAGGTGCAAACACGTATAACAGAAAGGGGCTCCTGCCATCCGGGGTCCCGAGAGGTGGCTACCGCAACAGGGACGAGGCAGGCCCACCAGGCCAGCCCCTCGGCTGCTGAGATTCTCTCCTGGAGGAAAGTGATGCTCCCCATGAGACACCAAAAGGGCAAAATTACTCTTCAGAATGTACCACGATATAAAGCACTGTTACCAGTGTCCTAAAACCAGGGTTGTCTTTGAATCACTGTGAGGCAGGAGGCAAGGGAGGCTCGGGGGGCAAGTTGATCAAAGTCAAGTCATTTTGGATTTAGGCTGACCCCTAACCTAAAAGTCAGCAGGTCATAAAAAGAGTCGTGAGACCCCTCTCCCTCTGGCAGTAAAAGCCACAAAGTTTGGACACTCTTACCACTGCTCCCCGTGGGTAGTTCTGCAACCTAAGCAATGGAAAAACTGCCCGATGGAAATGCTAAACCCGAAGTTAAAGAGTAAGCCCCTCCCTGTACAGCTAGCTAATTTTTAAAAACGCGTAAAACCCCTTGTTGGAGGCAAAACAGCGGTGGCGGGCAGGGGTGGGGTCCACTTCCCCATACTCTGTAAAGCAGCTCCTTTCTTACTTCTACACTTATCTTTGTCCCTTTCTATAAATGGCTTGCTCTTGAATTCTCTCTCGTGCAAAGCCAAGAACTCTTTTGGTGAGGGGCCTCAACCCATCAGACCTCAACTGCTCCCCTTCTCCTGGGCCAGGGAGAGCAGGAATATGGCTGTGCCCAAGGCTACTCTGTATTTACTTCCTTTGCTAATTATTTATATTTGCACCTCTCAAGATTCTCAGTATTGGGACGTCAAACTTCCCGTCTGATCATGAGGAGAACTCAGTTTGGGCCCAGTAATGTCTAGCGGAAACTGTTAAGGTAACGTGTCCCTTTCCTGTCCCCACGGCACCCTCCCCCGCAGCACGTCCCCGCAGCGTGCTATGAGGGGGGGCTGCCCCTGCCCCGGGCACAGAGCGGCCCCACAGAGTGGCGCCTCAGAGCAGGCTCAGCAGCTGGGCATCTCTGCGGCCTCGTGTGCAGCTCTCCGAGGCTGGAAGACAGCAATCAGTAAATGCTGCTTTTCTCAGAGGTGGGGTAGGGTGGCTCGATTTCAGAATCCAAGATTTTACCCTAAAAACGAACTAGTCTAATGAAGCGTTTGTCCCTATTTTTCTAATGGAAACGGCAGAAGGAAACAAAACCAAAAACACATCCAGTATTTTTATTTGTTTAGCGGACAATGGACATGTCTCCCACCCTTTCCTTTAAGTTAGTGTGACAATTTTCCATAATAAACTACTTAAAGAGAAGCTTTGGTCAAGAATGGAATGAAATAGCAAAAACAAAAAAACAGAAAAACCCAAATCACGGCTGCTTTTAAAAAACCAACACTGTCACCAGTTATATTCAAACAAAAACACACAAACGATATTTGCGCGAAACGGGTCTTCAGTGTCTCCGTGCGGCTGGCTCTCCTCACCACCATGCACACGGCGGGGCTGCGTCAGCGCGTTTGTCAGTCTGTGAGTCTGTCCGTTTGTCATGCTGGATCTGGGAGGCTCACTCAGCTTCACATTATCCGGAGGCCCTGGATGGAAGACTCTAAGGTCTTGAAAACGGCAGGAAGAACACTGAGAGTTACTGAGGACGTCGTGGCGTCTTCCCCCAGCCCCCCTGCACCACACGACTGCCCCCTCCCCCCGCCGCCTGATGTGCAAGCCCCGTACCCCCCAAATCTGGCTTAGCCCAGCTCTGACACCCGCTCTCCCAGGCCTGGGCCCCCTGCTGGCCCTTCCAAGCCCTGCGCTCCCCAGTCACCATGGCTCTGAGCCACAGGATCTGGGCCAGCCGCACTTACTGGTGAGGGCTGCCTGCGTGCATGTCCCGTCCCTCTCGCCACACCCGAGAGGCCCTCACGGCGGGCACTCCGTTTTCACAGGCCACACAGTGGCGGGCCCGGGGCACAACACACAGCAGGTGCTCAAAGGCGGACGGACCACAGGAAACTGCCCTGCGACCTCCTAGCGTACAGCACACACAGGAGAGGGAAGGCTGTGGCCCGAGGGATCGGAGAATAAAGTGCCGAGTGTAACTGAGCAGGGAGCTAATTTCATGGGGGCCGCAATGCCCAGGATGGAAAGCACGGGAAGGTAAAAAGGGTGGGGGGTGGGGTGGGGACTTTTAGAGGAAGACAGTTTGCTTCTCCAGAGTATTCTGAAGGCTTTTTTCCATATTAGGTATTTCACCCAAGGAGGGGGAAAAAAATCAAACATCATGGAAATGCACGGGCAGGAGCAAAATTCTGTAAACATCTACCTGTTTCGGGGGTAACAACCAGGAGAAATTAAATTCACAGGGCTGCACATGGCAGCCTTCCTCTCTTACCCCTGCTGCTCCCCTCTGGTTCCTTATCTCACCCACCATCCACCCAATCCCCAAGCTAGTGTGTGCAGAGTCCCGCTGCATTTGCTCCTCACGATGCCCCTCCACTTGACCTCCTAAATCTCCTCCCAGTCCAGAAACTTGGGGCCACACCCCTGCCAGCACTGGAGGTCACCTCCTCCTCACTTGTTCGCCGGGCTCAACAGCCTCTGCCCAGAGCCCACGGCTGTCCACGTCTTACAGCCTGGTGCTTCTCTATTCAGCTCTGGAGCAGGTCCTAGCTATCTGCACACAAAGCCCAGCGCCCTTCCCTGACCACGCCGTGGCCCGCTTCCTAGTGGAACTAGGAAGGACCCACACCACAGCCCAAACCGCTGGCGGTGCTCCGAGCTCGGCCGGTCCGCATCTGCTGCTCTCGTGACTCAGACGGCTCACCCCCACCTGCGCGTGCACCCAAAATCCCACTGCATCTGGAGATGCAGCTCAGGCCCATCTCTTCCCTGCAGTGCTGGCAATCTTCCCCCCCCCCCCACCCCCCGCCCAATTCCTCTGTAGAAACAGAGGCACTGGCCTCTCTTCTGGAGCTCCACGGAACACCGCCACTTCTCTACCAGACAAGCCGCTTGAGGGCTCTTTCACCTCAATATCCTCGGGGCCCAGTACCAGGCCTGGCACCCAACAGGCATCTCGTGAATGTTTATTAGACTGATTCGTGTAAACCATGGAAAGAGATCTAGGTCGTCGAACAGTCTGGTGGCTCAACACAGGGCCTGCTACAAAAATGCCACTCAAGGTTCCCTCCGCCAAGTGGACATCTAGATCGGTGTATCCCACCTCACTGCGAAAGTCTGCTCTTCTCCTCATGGCTTTCAGGTTTTAATTTTTTTTTAAGTAAGCTGTACAGCCAACGTGGAGCTTGAACTCACGACCCCGAGATCAACAGTCGCATGCTCTGCCGACTCAGCCAGCCAGGGGCCCAGACTGCCAGGTTTTCAAGACAACTACAAGCTAATGTTCTCCGTTTCTGATGTGCACTGGATCTGACGTTTTGTTCCAAGAAACGAGGAACATTCTTGCCAGAGAAAGAGTTTTAACGCAAACGTTTCTTCTGAAAAGGGGAAAATACCTTGAAATCCCAAATTGTCATGGCTCCATCGATGCCAGTAGTGCAGAACTTGCGACAGTCTTGCTTGTCCACCTCGTAAATAGACACCTGACTAAAAGAAAGCAAACACGAGAGACTGTCAAGTGTGTGGTGGGCGCGGGCCCCAACCTTCCCAACAGTGTAAGGGCGTTTGAAGGCAACAAATTCCCAATTCCTAAGTATCAGCTTGTCCGTCAACATTAGGCTGCAGCAGTCGGACACAGAAAATACTCAAATGCATCTTACTACCGGATGTCCGGAAAAGCCAAGACTGGAAAGGTAGGAAGCTGCAGTCGTTACCGGGACGCCAAGAGGCAGGACAAGCCAGGCCACGCAGCACGCAGACTGCCCGGGAGCAGAGTGTGGGCAGGACCACAGCAATGACGAAAATGGAAACAATTAAAAACAAACACTGGAGGCAGGATGAAGCATGACTGAAATCCAACTGGCTGCCAACAAAGACTCCCAAATCGCCTCCCAAGACAAGCAGGGCCTGCAAGTCAAGAGCTTGCCCTGCATTTGAAATGAATCATCGTAAATGTGAGCAACACTCAGACACACAAGAGTCCAAGCAAGCAATGCAGAGAATGGATGAATGAAACAACTTGTCTTAGCCTAATTAGCCGAAAAGCTTTCAAGAAAATTCCATAGCTTAGACAATAATTTTTCTTTCTCCTCTGAAACGTCTAGAACATTCCCTCTAGGGAAGGAGATGGCAAAACTACGGCACATGTAGCCTGTTAACCAAGAACAGCTTTAATGACTTCAAATGGTTACCAAAAAAAAGGTATAAAAAAATTAAGCCTATTATTTTGTGACGAGGAAATTCAAATTTCAGTGTCCGTAAAGTTTTACCGAAACACATCCACGCGCACGTATATATGTACTGCCACTGGCTGCGTGGCCGCCATCACAGATGTCAGCAGGCGTGATGACAGAGACCGGCTACCTCCTCAGCCTAAAATATTTACTCTGGTCCCTTACAGGGAAGGTGTGCCGACCCTTTGCTTAAGGGCAAAGAGGACTGGGGCGCCTGGGTGGCTCAGTTGGTTAGGCGACTGCCTTCGGCTCAGGTCATGATCCTGGAGTCCCGGGATCGAGTCCCACATCGGGCTCCCTGCTCGGCGGGGGGTCTGCTTCTCTCTCTGACCCTCCCCCCTCTCATGTGCGCTCTCTCTCTCTCTCTCTCATTCTCTCTGTCTCAAATAAATAAATAAAAAATCTAAAAAAAAAAAAAAGGGCAAAGAGGACTTAATAGCGGCAAATAAAAGCAAACGTGCCCATCTGCAAGGGTCTTTTTTTAACGCAACGAGAGCTGTTACCTTCCTGATACACGGTCTGCAGAGAAGCTTCAGAGAAATCCACAAGAAATAGTTTTGAAAGTCATTCAAGACAAATGAGAAGCACAGGGAAGACCTGCTGTGCCTTCAAGCTACGACTGTCCAGCAGAGCACAGACATTTCGGCCTATTTTAAACCCAGCGGCCCTTTCCACCGAACATGATGACAAGCACAACCTGCATTTAATAGTTCTCCCAAAGAGAAAGTCGAGAGGTTTCCATTCTTGTTCTCACCATCATCAGCACAATGCAAATCTCTCAACACAAAAGGTCTAGTCAAAAAGAGAAAATGTTATGGTACCTAACTGACCACAATCACTGAAAGTATCAAGAACAGATGACATTTCTCCTCTAGATTTAGAAAAAACCAGGCTGTCTGGTTAAAACACAGTTCACACACGCCTGATGAAAACCTGAAGTCAAGAAACTCCTTGGTTTTGCCTGAGGTCATCAAAGAATTCCGTTTCTTTAGTTAAGTGATCTTCTTACTGGTATACATCACTTGAAATCCATGGTTGAAATGACAGCTAGAATTACCTTTTCTTTTTTTTTTTTTTAAAAGATTTTATTTATTTATTCATGAGAGATAAAGAGAGGCAGAGGCAGAGGGAGAAGCAGGCTCCCCGCGGAGCGGGGAGCCCAATGTGGGACTCGATCCCAGGACCCTGGGATCATGACCTGAGCTGAAGGCAGACGCTTAACCGACTGAGCCACCCAGGCGTCCCTAGAATTACCTTTTCAACCAGGGTATAACTAGTCTTCCCATCACGTGTTCACTACCAGAGGACCATAACGTTCAGGAAGGTCTCCTTCTGTTCTCAGTCAGGGTTTGAGAAAGCAAGCCCCAGGAAGAGGCCACCCTGGCAGGCACAGCTCACGTCTGCCGTAGGATCAGCGCTCCTCACAGGGGATGCTGCGTACCAGCCGCACCTCGAAGGACAGAATGCCTAGGTGGGGGCGGCTCACTCTGTCACAAGCTGAAAATAAGAGCCCATAGTCGGGAAGCTACAGACTTCTCTCTGCTCCTGTTCCTAAAGGGATGTCTGGGCACACAGTACACGCAACTTGCAAAGGGACCCAGTCAGGAAACAAGGAGAGGAAGAAAGGCATCGTCGTCACCCAACACTTCTCCAGCGATGGGTCAGGGCCCTGGCTACAGGTGGCTTCCCGGGGGCCCCAGGTAGCTGGGGGGCACGTACGTGATGCTATTCTGGTGCAGCGTCTCCAGGGCTGTGTTGCGGTCCTCAGTCGTGGCCCTCTTGTCCATGTTGCGGAAGCGCTCCATGGCAGACATGTTGCGCTGGATGCTCTGTTTGGGAATGTCTAGTTTGGAGACGAAGGTCAAGCAGCCACGGTCATCATAGTTGAAGAGCATTGGGCAGCAGTCATGGCCCTGAAATAAGAGCTCAGTCAGGCGCCGAGGGTGTGCCGCCCACCCACCGACCCCTCCGCAGAACGCGCACACCACGGGCATCTCTTCGTCTTCAAGGCTCGCTATTCTTTTTTTTTGAAGATTTTATTTATTTGAGAGAGAGAATGAGATACAGAGAGCATGAGAGGG